TTACAAGAAGAATCCAGAGTTGAATTTAGATATAGGGAAGTAAAACTCCCTGTTCTACGATACACTAAACTTCACCCTTTGATTTCCTTAATGCTTTGTCACTCTTGAATCACTTCAAACTAGGAACTCTTCCGGTCAAGCTTGAGCTCCTCCCAAGCTTCAAATGCTGAAGACACACTCTAACTTTAGCAATGGAAACCGTTCCAGTCGCCATTCAATCAAAAATGATGAACAAAATGGTTTGAGCGCAACACCATAAATGGAACCTAAACAAGAATAAACTCTCCATAGAATTTTAGAGCAGACAAACAAATGAAATATCTAGGTTAGTGATGAGTGTTGGAAATGCATATATATTTAGTGATTTGGGGATGAGATTGTGAATTTATGGTTGAATGCATTATTTACGATGAAATTCTTTACATGTTTCGTTATCTACCAAAATCACAGGTTTGTGTGTGTTTTTAGGAATTCAGATGCAAAATTGATGATTTGTATGTGCACTGATGTTTAGACCATCGAGACTCATTAGAGCGTGAATGAATCAAGAACATGAAGAAGAAAAATTGGAACTTCAAGGTTACGCTGCGGCGCAAATTGGTGCAATCCTAGTTGTGCGGCTGCATAGGTTTATTGCACTGCAACATAAATCGATGCAATCCTAGTTGCACCGCAGCATAGATTTATGGCACCACGGCATATATCAGTGAAATCCAGCATGTGCTTGACATGATTCATTCCACGCCATGGTGTGGATAGGATTCTGTCGAAGCACACAACGTCAAGAGCTGCACTATGGCGCCATAAAATCACGTTGCGATGCCGTTTGAGCAGAATGCAACAATTATGCATTTCCAACCTTGTTTGACTTTCCAATATTTACCAAATTTCCATTATTTGTAAAAACTATATAAGGGCAACTAAATTCGTATTTTAGGTATTCATAAACATTCCAAACTTTGTAAACATTTGGGCTAACTTGGAGAAGGGGTTTTTGAGAGGCAAGGAGCTAAATCTTGATTATTTGTTGTGGATTTATGATCCAAATGCTTATGAGTAAGATTAAGGTTTGTTCTCTTGTAATTATGAATAGCTAAACCCTTATCTAGTGTATCCAATGTAGCCTAATTTGAATACACTGTGTTGTTAATCTAAATAACCTGTTTAATCAATTCATTATAATCCTAGTTTCATTCATTGTTGTTTATTCAATCTTTAATCGTTATTGTTGCTTGATCATCTTTAATAATTGATTAATTGATTGTGTGAGTCAAGGTTAGACTATACACCATAGCTAATCTTAAATAGCTCTTGTGAATGAATGATTTGTGTCTATACATACAGTCTGATAGATATATATTAGCTTGTGATCTTTGGGTACTGGTAATCTTAACGGGTTTTTAGTAATTAGACTAGACTATACACCCTAGCTAGTTTAATGATGAAAGCACTAGGTTAATCCTGAAGGTCCTATGGTAATACCTTAATTTGGTGAGTATCGACCCTAGGATTTGAATTGAGAAAATAATAATTAGATTATTGGCATAAGGTAAGATAATTACAGTGAAATTGGGTACCTAGACCTTTACACATTTGTTTCTCACTCATTTTATAATCGTCTTTACTTTAATTGTTAATTTTCCTTATTTCACTGTTATTTTAGAATTATTAATTAGTTGATTAATTTGTTTTATTTTATCTAATTACTACATTGTTATTAGATTTAATTGATAACTTACAATTCTTTGTGGGTCGACCCTTGCTTTTGTGCTATACTTCTTAGAGATTCGTGTACTTGCGTGGAATAGAATTTTGTCTATTAGTTAGTTCAAACAGACACAAGAAAGAAAATGATATAGGGAATTTCTTGCTCAACAATTCTTCCTAAGCCAGCAGACCAAGGCTGACATATGTTGGTCCAAAAGAGAAGAGATTTCTACCAAACTTTCGGGACCACTACTAAAAAGGGAAAACTAATTCCATTGACCACTTGTGGGTTTTAGGACACCTGTAAGTGGTCCTCACACCAGCACACCAAATAAGGAAAAATATATCAGTAGATAATGAAAATACACTACTTGGCAAAATGAGTCAGACACGTAGATGCTTGCACAGAAGAACAATGTGTGTACATATTTGAATTAAGAAGCAAAATGCATAAGTCTGACATAAGTTTGCAAACACAAAACAGCTGAGTACACGTTGTAACATAAAATGCAACATCATAAGATTGACATCACTGTGAAAACACAAAACAATTGTGCACACACTATAACATAAAATGAAACATGCATAAGATTGACATTAGTGTGAAAACATACAACAGTTGTGTACACACTATAACACAACATGCATAAGTTTGACATCAGCGGGCAAACATACCACAACTGTGCACACATCATAAGTTTGACAAAAATATCAACATGTCTGATGATGATCAGAAATATGTCTCATTATTTTTGTTTCGCCTCGAAAATTAATTTAATTGGTTTGCATGCTGTCTACTCAACTTGATCAACAAAACTAATGGTCCTTTAATTAGACCATTAGTCTATACTTATTAACTAAGACCGATCATCTCTTGACATCTGATTTATCATCCTTGATATAGTAATTCAAGATGTTCATTTTTAAGAATATTGGTCTTGTCAGTAAGGAATAAAGAAATAATGTTTCCCTTGTTAAAGAATAAACCTTTTTATGATTAAGATGTAGATAATTGAAATATTTTTTGTATGAATTTAGATTCTCTATATCAATATCCTACAAAAATAATTGATAAAGAGAATCTTTATTTGTCCCATATATGATGATAATGTTTTGTTTTCATCTATATCTTGAGCTTTGGTTTAGGATTTTTTATTTATTTTTAAATAATGTAAAAATTATAAAACGTTGTATAACTTAAAGTTCATAAAGAAACTTATGTACCATATACTTCATACTCAAATCCATAAGTTTGAAAATATCATAAGTTTGACAAAAATATCAACATGTCTGATGATGATAAAAAATATGTCTCATTATTTTTGTTTGGCCTCGCAAATTAATTTAATTGGTTTGCATGCTGTCTACTCAACTTGATCAACAAAACTAATGGTCCTTTAATTAGACAATTAGTCTATACTTATTAACTAAGACTGGTCATCTCTTGACATCTAATTTATCATCCTTGATATAGTAATTCAAGATGTTCATTTTTAAGAATATTTGTCCCCTCAGTAAGGAATAAAGAAATAATATTTGCCTTGTTAAAGAATAAACCTTTTTATGATTAAGATGTAGATAATTGGAATATTTTCTTGCATGAATTTAGATTCTCTATATCAATATCCTACAAAAATTATTGATAAAGAGAATCTTTATTAGTCCCATATATGATGATAATGTTTTGTTTTCATCTATATCTTGAGCTTTGGTTTAGGATTTTTTATTTTATTTTTAAATAATGTAAAAATTATAAATCGTTGTATAACTTAAAGTTTATAAAGAAACTGATGTACCATATACTTCATACTCAAATCCATAATAAATTTATCAAATTTAAGATATGCACTGGATTAAGCCCGATATGATAATTTGCTAAATTTTTGATAACAAAATGAGAATATACTTGTTGAGAATATTCTCTTCAACAAAATGAGGAAAAAAAAAATGGAAGAGAGTTGAGAATCTAATTTATCCTCTAGGATAAGAATATTCATGTTGCTCATTACTATAAGAAACATTGATCCTATTTTTTCAAAGGAATAAAGAATAATGTTTGTTTTATTATAGATCTTTTTATGATCAAGATCATATGGGGAACGATTTTGTTTATCAATTAGAACAACAGCTTTCCGGATAATGGAAAACTACTTTTATAATTCAATAATAGTATACTTATAAAGATTTCCATACAAAGTGAGGTGGTAAAAAATGAATAGAAGAGTGAAACCAAAAGTCAAACTTATTAAATTCATTATTCTAATAATTTTTTACCACATCACTTTGTACAGAGATCTTTGTAAAATTTATTTGTAATTAATGAATTGATATTTACACAACTAGTAATATAGATGATTTTTTGGTGAAAATTATAACTACATATGTGATAATAATAATGAGTAGTATATTATTACAATGCTTCAAGATGATACCATTTTATACAAATTTTCTGATACAAATTGTTGTATTTTAAGATGATTGGATAATTTTTAAATTAAAGAATAAATTAAATGAATTAAAGAGGACTACATGTCAAATATGCAGGGCTACCGAATCAATTTGTAATTTGTAAGGAATAGTTTACAAGGCTGACCTAGGAATTAATGTTAGAGTGGCAAGTGAAGTAATTTAATATTAATTCTAGGAAAACTAATTCAAGGGGATTGTAAATAATTTAATATACATATGAAAAAAAAATGCGAATTGGGTCAAATCTTGAAATATAACCACAAATACAGTTTAGTCAAAACATAAAAATATGCATAACTAATGAATGTTTTTTGTTTATAGGTCTGCCCGTGATAGTTTGTATATATAGCGTGGCTCTTACCAGTTATATATGTATGCTCCATTTTCCTAATTCTACTTTGAAACCAGATGCAATTTGATTGTAATGAACTTACTATTATTTCTTTAATAAAATTAAAATTTTTAAGAATTTATATAATATTTTTAGTTTATTAATATTTATGCAAATTTGGTGAAGTTTTGATCGTCCAAAAAAATATTTTTGAATTTAGCAGGTTACCCTTGAAATATTGGAAAATTGAGGTAATACCATGTAAAAGTGGTGGGCATGGAATCTTATTTGATTTTTTTTAATTACATGATTCAATACCTACTATCATGATCATATTGTCGTTTTTTAGAAGGAATAATCCCGCTATGCCTTATCAAGGAATAAATCTTTTTCATATAATGATGTAGAAATCCATTAGTAATTTATTCGACCATCTCAACCTATAAATTCAAGGTCTGCATGTAACGAAGATCATCAGTAAGACATATTTGAATTAAAGAGAAGAGTGATCATCACGAGATGGCTTCAGCGCAAGTTCAGCTCCCACACAACCTCGATGCCATTCTTCAAGAGGCAGACTCACAGATTAACAAGTCCTCCGACAATCTGATTGAGCAGCTCCACGGTGGAATCTTCTTGAACCAAAACAAACTGGCAAGTCCCATATATCTTATAGATTGTTTTTGTATCATCTTCAATTTTACTGTTTTTATTATTAAGCAGCAATTAATTAAGTTCAATACTAACAGTTAGTATTAAATTATATTACTGCAGAAGTTTTCGGTTGATAAGCTTTCTGGTGCGAACACCTTTGAAATTTATGCAAGGGGTCTCACAATTGCTTGGGGAAACGATGAACGTTATTGAAAGTGGACTTACATGCAAGACACAAAAGAGTATATAATTCTACTTAACTTTTTATGTTAATGAAGATTTCAATTGTGTTTGGTTGGACTTTTCTATAGTTAAAAGAGTTTATTTAAAGTCATGAGCAGTTTTATTTTTAGGTTGTTTGATTGTATTTCAAAAGAGTTTATTGAATGTTAAATCAACTATTTTAGGCACTTATGAGAATAATTCAAAATTTGTGCTCCTCTCATAAGCTCTTTTTGAGCTTATTTACAGTTTTAAAATTTAAAAATATACTTACCTTATTTTATAAATTTGACTTGCTTATGAAACCCATTTTTATAAACTCTATTCAAATAAGGCGTACCAAACGAATGCTTCTTCTAATTGTAATTAATTTTGTTTTTGCAGTCATCCTGTTGAAGTGGAGGTGGCTGAACTAGTAAAAGTCTGTTGGCTTGATGTGAGCAAGAAATTCCCTACAAAAAATCTCACTCCAAGGCGTACTTACGAAGTTTCGTTTATCTTAATGAAGTTGAAAGGATGTGAAGGATTTCAAAACCATCCAGTGAACTTGAAACTCACCCTCCCCAATCAAACTCCGATGGAACAAAAACAAGATTTGAGTAAATTGCCAGAAAACAAATGGTCAGACGTCCCTGTTGGCGTGTTTTCGACTAATTGTGGTATGACTGGGGACATGGAAATCTCTATGTATGAGCACGGTTCACAGTGGAAGAAAGGGATTGTTGTCGATAAAATTATCATTCGCCCCCTGGCGCAGCCATGAAAATGAACATGAGGATAATCAACAATGAGACGTTTACAACTAAAAGTTTCTAGATCGATGATAAATAATTTAGTTGGCATGCGTCTCATGTTGTAGTAGTAGCTCTCACTATGACTTTGTAATAAATAAAAATGTGAAGAGTTATATATGTGATAATAAACAGAAGCAATAATATGAGATTGCTTCATCAAAATTACCCTCACTCTAGTTTCTCCGTTGATCTACTTCAAAATCTAAGCTAGTTTTGACACATTTTATAACGTGAAATCAACCTTCAATTAAGTATACGATGAAATTATGTTCTTGTAACTAAACGCGACATAAATGCTCCCAACGTTTAAAACTCGTTGGCTACTAAACAGAGTTACACAAGTCAACTAAAGTCAACACAAATAAGGGCATTTACGTAATCCTGGAAGACTAATTATCTAACCATATGAATCAAGGGGTATTAGGGCCTTTTTACTTCAACAAAATATTAAAATAAAATTATCTTTCTAAGCAATTAAGAATTTGGTAAATAATAAAAAGGGTAAAATGGACTTTTTGTTTTTAATTTAATATTAAATAAAAAATTGGACAGGATTGTTAAATTTAACTTAACATAGGGGTTATTTTTTTCATACTTTTGCAAAACCTAGTGGTATTTAAAGTTAGCTTATCTCTCAGGGGGGGCGTCAGATGAAAACTCCTTATCCTTATGTGCCCATATTTTTTTAGCTGGGGATGTTGAAAATCAAAGGATATATCGAGTTGGCATAGGATCGCTGTTGGCTCCATATGTTGTGTTAGTATAGCGCTATGCCTAGTCGTCGCAAGTAATTGCCAATCCCACGACAATATACCAAGTAGGCAGGGACTTGATGTCAGCTCGATATATCGAGATGGTTGGGCTTTATGCCTAGCTACTATAGGTGGGTGTGATTACATGAGATTTGCTCAAAGGATGGTCTTGCTCTAATGCCAATTTTAACAACGACAAATGGGTAGAACTCACTTTAAAAACCGGTTTGTAAGGTGAGGCCACCCAAACAATTATTAACCAATATAGCAAGTTGTTTCTTAGCGATGTAAGACTATTAAGATTGTTAGCATTAGTGAATAGGATAAAAGAAAAAATAGCATTACACTTGCTCTTTCTGACATGTAGTGAACTAATAAATTAAAATCAACAAATCATGGTGGTTTTTTTTTTTAATAGATTCCATAACAACAAGCTAATAGAATCGGATCATTTACCCAGATATTGTTCAACCATTTAATTATCTTATACCATTATTTACTTAAAAATTGTAAGTATTTTTGTCAACTAATGAAGTTTGTGTGTGCGCATTCATTTCTGATGTCTGCACATCCTTTTGTTTAAGCACAATTGTATCTTTAGTTCACATATGCCATGACATTTAGAATTGATGTGTGCATTGTCTCTTAGTCTGATTTTATAGCATATCATGTGCCAACAGTTGTCTAATCATCTGTTTACGCAAATGTTGAGTTTTCATTGGTTGTTAGGATTTTATCCAGGATTGAAATATGCGTGAGTGGTCCATATAACAAGTGTCAAATATTTCAAACATTGTCCTAGAAATTTGTTTTCTTTTCAGAAGTGATCCTAACAAAGTTGTAGAAAACTTTCCTTTTTTAGCTAAACATGTGTAAGGGTTGTCGGCTGGCTGTCTAAGGATTTCTTGCAGAAGGATTCTATTTAACCTTCTTCATCCTTGCATTTTCGTTTGAACCTGAATATTCCTCTTATTATTCTTTGAAAATTCTTTGAGGTTTATTTCATTTTAGGTTTGGTTCCATTATGCTTTGGTAAACTTAAAATACCTTGCTAAACTTTGTTGTAAGAGTTGTTGGAACTTGGTTCCATTAATGAAAGCTTGATGGGATTTCAAGCGGTGGAGCTAAAGGGTGTCTTCGGCATTGAAACTTGAGTGGGCTCGAGCTATCCAAGAGGTGTCTTGGATTCAAGCAAGTTGTGGCAAGATAGTGGATCATCCAAAGGTTGAAATTAGAGCATTGTGGAAATAGGGAGTGTTTTACATTTGTTTGCTTAACTACAACTTTGTAATGAACCTTGAATGTTTGCTATAATGTATTTGCTTCGTCTGGACTTGGTCCCATGGATGTGGACAGCTGACCGAACCATGTAAATACCATTTATGTGCTTTACTTCATGTCTTGGATGTTTAACAATGTGTTGATGATGAATGGACATACTCACAAGCACAAATGAACTTGATTAATTTATTCCGCATAAGTTTAATGAACTTGATTAAGTCATAAACTTTCAATTTCTATTTTCTTTTTTCAAAAGTTACATAATCTAGACTGCTAAAGTACTGTATAAAGATTTTGCACACCACCACTATTGCTAGAGACTTTGTTGGGCATTGATCACTTACAAAACCATGTTAAGATTATTGTTTTCGTCAAAACAAAAACTCATCCATGACTCTCATAATTCTTCGATGAATCTAAATAAATTTACATAGTTAAAATTTCTCTAGTACAATTTTCATTGTCGCTAGTCACTACAAGAAAAACCACATTCTGCAACCAATTTTTTAGCAACTAACCAGAATTAGTTGCAAAAAGGCTACATTTACCAACTAAATTGCCATTAGTCGGGAAAAGAGGATTAAAATTTTGGGGTCCACATGTTCCAACTTTTGGCGTCTAAAGATAATGTTTTGCGACTATTTTGTTAGTCACAGAACAGGTTGCTTTAGTGACTAATAAATTTAGTTGCAATTTTTAGCAGGCGATTTTTCCCTCTATAATTTGACAATTTGTATCTAAAATATTATATTTTGCATCTACATTATTGCTTACAAAAAACAATTTTTTGCAACTACCCCTTAGTAGCTAAATTAGTTGCGAATAATTAGAATTTATTAGTAACTATTATGATTAGTTACAGAAAAATGAAATTACCAAAATATCCCATATTTGGACAATAATTACAAGGGCCCCAAGGTATTTTTAGTAACAAATGTTTGTGTTCATATTAACAATAGTTGCAAAAAATTATATACAGCAACTAAATTCGATTTAGTTGCCAATTTAAGTTGAAAAATTCATGTTCCCCCCAAATTATTTGTTCCCACCAGACCTAACTTATAGGCAACTAAGACTAATTTTTTCCTAACTAAATGTTTAGTTACAAATTTACTTGTTTGCAAAATATAATTATATTTAAAAATTAAACAACTAATTAAAAGCCTTACTTTTTAAAGTTATTTACAAAAAACCCTAACCTATATAAAGCAAGCCTTTTTCTCAATTTCCAATCTCTTCTCCACGCAAATCCCTAGCTATTTCCCCAAATTTCCCAAACACATAACCTTACCTAGCTCATCTCTTCTGGACGCGTCTTCATCTTAATCGCTATTGCCCGAATTTCCCAAATGCAGAACCTCGTGTCATCTCTTCTCCACACATCTTCATCTTTCAATTGATCTTCTTGGCTTCCTTGATTCATCCAATACGAGGCAGTCCCTAACCTCCCGTAAGTACAAATTTTGGTTCTTTGGTTCTCTCACATGGTAACATTGAATCTGATTTCAAATTTTGAGAAGCTGATGTATTTTCATGTATTGACATTGCATTTATTTCAAATACTTGATTTTTGTTTGACAACTTGTGAATTGGTGCCATTATTATAGGCGTCCTTTCTTTGTTCACTTAGAGGTCTTATTGGCATCTTAGACTTTAATTTCCTTGTTATGGATTTGATTAAGGAAATGTGACAGTGAGGGGTAGGTTGAGGAGTATTAAATCTATCATAGATTTTTTAAAGAGAATGTTGAAGGCTGAATATCTTTGTGGGTCTATTCTTTATGCCAAAATGTGTTGTCAAAGTCTGTTGCTGATTTGGGAAACAACTAGTAAACAGATAGCAAATACATCATCCAAGACTAGAAGAAATTGGTGATAAATGGATACTAGACAACTTGAAATGGGTAAACATACGATTATTATGTTATTTTCATTGTGGTGCTGTTTATATTCTCTTATGCTTTTCTCGTGCTGCTGTATTAGGTGCATGGACTAATTTTGTGTTTCTTTTTTTTTTTTTTTATAACTACTATCTTGGATTTTTTGATACAAGGATCTAAACTTGAGCTGCTGCTTCTTTTTATTGCTGACCATTTATAAGGCTTCTTATTAGTTTGGTTTCGTATGTTTTCTTGCTTGTCAAATCGACACATGCAAGGTTGGGCTTGAGATCACATAACCATTCTCTATCGGCATT